AAAAAAAAAAAAAAAAAAAGAAAGAAAACGGAATCACTCCGGTTTCCGAAGGATTTGCAGGATCGCGCGGTAATTGTCTCCGAAATCCTCCGTTACGTTTCAAGATGAACGAACATTTCCTTCCATTGTATTTCGTTTTCCCTTCCGCGTAGAGTATATTTTTTTTCCTTTCTTTCTTTTTAATACTACCGGATATTTTTGTCTTGCGTCCTCCCGGAAAACAAAGGGAGGAACGGATATCGATAACACACAACGGGTGTATCGGGAGTGAGATGTGTGTCGGTTAATGGACACCGGCGTTCCGCTCACATCGGTTTTTTACAGCTATGAAACTAAATCGCATGACAATCGTCGCGTCGCAAGGCGCACCGTCGCCCAGTATTTAAAATCGGAATTTCAAACCAGTGTCGTGGCATGACAATCGTCGGGGTATCAAGGATCGCTTAATACTCTCGACGAGAGGTAGTGCATACAACCGACGAGATATGTTTTTTAATCTAACTCCGCGGGACTTAATTACGCAGTCTCTTCTCAAATATTTAAATAAATACGTCGCCGCTTATATTTATAGCAGTGGATTAATACCTCTCGTTCTTCGTAGCACGGCCACGATTTAAATTCTGCGCGTTCGTTCAGAGCACGTACGTAATAAATACGTAAACGTAGGGTTTTTTTTTTTTTTTCGTCTCGTATTACTGACAATATCGCGGCAAACTTCAACTCCATTATCTCCTTGTCGAACATTCAGCAAAAACGCGATTCCCGATCCCGTGAGATTTCGATTTCTAACGAGCTCGTTGTCTGCTTCTTTCATCCTACTTCCACTCGTTCACGCTTTTACCTCTCGTTTTACTTTCATTGTGAACCGGCAAATGGCGGATGAGTGTCTTTTGTCCACTTTACAGGCGAGGATCGCGTGGACTGCGTGTCGAGAGGCTTCCGGATAACCGACCCTCGAGGTGGAATTCTCTTCTCGGCGGATAGGGAACAGGTGGTGGTGGGAGCAGAGATGTTAAGGGTAACTGGCGATGGTGGTGCTGTTTTCCAGGGCAGCGTTCAAACGCCTCTGGTTAGAGGGGAATCTGGCCGTGGTCTCAGGTAATCATAAAACGGGATAATCTCGAAATAAGTAAATATATGTCTCGCTTTCTCAACACGGCCATTTTATGAAGTATTTGCAATGCTTTCATTTCTTCAGCTTCATTTATTCCTTAATTTAATTTTTGCCAATATAAAGTGGAATTCTCACGCGTCCAGGTAATAAATAAAATAGTCAAGATCTTCGTAAGAAAATAATCTATGTGACGTATTAAATTTCCTATCTCTTGAGGTAAGATTTAAACAATTCGATAAATACGTACAGAATATTAAAACATATAAAAATACGTAATAACAAATGTTGCAAATTGCCAATTCAACAAAATCACGATCCACGTGAAGCCATCGCGATAATTTTTTATTAATTAAACTGTAGCTGTTTTTATAAAAAATTTCATCTCGAGGCGTACAAAAAAAAAAAAGAGGAATATATCAATTTACAACGAGAATTGAGAAGAATTTTGTCAATCTCGACCGAAGTAATTATAATTGGGATATTAAAATAAATGGCCACGATCGATTTCTCGCGAATAGTTCACTACCTTTGTCCCATATTTATTTCAAGGATATCTAAAAGTGGCTCCGACCCAGTTCGACAAAACTCAGCGTTCAACATTTTCGGCCAGCATTCTCCATCTGTGCAATAATCATTCTGGATACTTGGGAACTGGATACAAATAGCGTTTCGATATTCCAATCAACTTTCCTTGTAGCCCCCTGACCGGCTATAAATAACGGAACTGAATCACTGCGCGACGGACACTCATGTGGGATTAAACTTCGTGGTAACGCGTTAAATATATGGCGTTGGTCAAACGGTGGGGCACCGATTCTGTCTGAAATCGTTTAATTGATGGGAAGATTCGTTGACAAAAGCATTGTACTCCATTCTCCCTGAGAATCGTATCGTTGCGCGTGCAATACGAACGAACTTGTTGCTGTCGTTCAGCCGAAACTAGTGAGAATTACATTCCACGAAGCAGAACGATTTCTCGAACATTTGTTTACCTTGCAAATTGTTTACCGTCTAAATGGTAAAAGCAAACGAGACTGCCTAATGTAATTTTTGTAACTGTCGACAGTTATTGTTGGAAGAAATCAGATTAATGTATCGGTCGAATTTCACCTCGAGATACGTTTCAACATTATTTTCGTGAGCGGCAACGTCAGACAAACTCAATAAAACGTTCTATTATTACGCGATATCGAATGAAAAATTGAGACGTTGCTGTCCGCGTTTTATCGGCTGTAAGTAACACTCAATTAACATTATTACACGAGGATGTTATTGAAACAAGTTTAAGACGATTAAAATTCAATGGAGTAAACTTTTCTACATTCCCATCGAGACGTCTTTTTCTATTTCAACGTTTGGGATCTTCGAATGGCGCTTAATCAGCTGATGATGATGTTCAAACAGCCTCGAAGTAGCCACATCGATCTCTCGATTCGTCGAGCCAGCTGACGACTGAGACCGTCCGTCAATTAGACGATGTTTCGTCGCAAATGCTGATATCAGTGGAAGATGGCGAAAATTAAAAGACGGGAAATCGCGACGATTCGAAAGAACGAAGCGGATAGTGCGGTGGTGGTACCGCGATTATTGATAGTGTCGGGCAATTTACAGACGGATTTACGATTACAATAAAACTTTGCTCGCGCGGAAAATTATATTCATAGGATTGGATTTATGCCAGATATGAAATACCGAGGATTCGAACGAACGGGAACGAACGCTTTCGGCTGCAAGCAATAGGTCGACGATGGCGAGAGACGCAGAGGGAGAGGGAGGCGGAGGGGGGGGGGAACGGTATTGGAAGAAAGGCACAACGGAAGATACTGCTTTACCACTTTTTAGAAAGGAGGGATCGATTATTGCGAGTCTGACGTTGCAGTCGGACCAGTTGCCATATTATTTCGTCGCGCGATATTGCGAATTCGCGCGCACACCGCTGCATTTCGCTCCCGCGAGCAACTCACTGTTACTATTCTCTGTATTAATTTTCTTCCTTCGCGTTTAATTGTTCGAAAATAAGCGAAATTGACGGCCGACAGGTTGACGCGCGTGAAATATTGATTTGCCAAATGGAACTTCGGTCCGCGGTGGATTCGTTTAAAACAACGTTACATTTTAATTAATGAAATTTTCATGTAAACGGGTGTCGTCTTTTTCATTCAGGATTTGCGAGAATCACATTAATTCTAGAATTCCACAGTTTCTTGGTACGGAACTGTTCCTCAAATCTTCAATTTATATACCCGATATGATTTCGACCGTTCAAAAAACTTCCGTTGCACTTTTGCACAATTTAAATTCGTTACATTCGATGTTCGTTATATCCGTGGAAATCGTCTGCCAACAGGTTGGAGTCAGCGACCAGGTCCCTGAAGATCAGCGCTCCCCAACGAGTGGTAATCGAATCCTGGGCGAACGAGATCTCGGCATCGTGCCTGACAGACCTGAAGCTTCAAAGCGTGCACGGGGCAATCAAATTGGACGCGAAGACTCTCTTCATGAAAGGCTTGAAGACAGCAAGTCCTAGCCAGGGCCACTCGTCGAGAGAACAGCAGCAACAGCAGCAACAACAGCAGCAGCAGCAGCAGCAGCATTCCTCCAGAACGTCGTCTCACCAGAGTCAAAGAGACACGACCATTTATCAGTTATGTGCCTGTGCTAACGGGAAACTGTTTCTGGCCAGGTCCGAAGGAACCTGTCAAGCGGACAAATCGATTTGCTAATAATACTAGACGATATCGAGCTATCGAGCGAAACGATCGTTCGAAAGGATCCTCGTATAGAAGGATCCTCGCAACGATGAAGACATCAACGGTTTTACACCGCGTTGAAGCGCGACATAATAAAGATCGACGAACTGAGCTGAGCTGAACTGCGGCAGACTATGGTGATGGAAGTTCTGTCGCGTGGAAATAGAAATGGACACGGAGTATTACGATGTATGCTAGTCGAAGTCCCGAGATCGCCCGAGGCCTTTCGCTTTCCGCAGGTGTTTCCGTTCTAAAGCGATGCGTGGACAAAGCTGGTTCCCACCGCGTTTACGGCCGTGTTTCGCCTTGTTTTATCTCGTCGTCGGCGCCTCGTGAAAAAAAAAAGGTGGAAGGAGGAAAGACGGACGCTATTAGAGAACCGCGTTTCGAACGGCGTTTCGTTGGTAATTCCAGGGAATAGAGTCCCTCCGATCAGGCGGATCGACAAACGGCGAAGCTACTACAAAGTGAATGTATATCTTGTATATTAACGAAAGTGATTATCGGTAGTCAGCGGCTGGTAATCGAATCGTCATCTCGTTCCTGTCTGTCCCCTGCTCTGTCGTTAGATCGAGTCGTTTCCC